CTTTCAGAAAAAACAAAAACAAAAACAAAAACAAAAAGAATGATTTTAAAATAAAAATTATTAATTAATATATGATATTAATATTTTAAATATTAAAAAATTACTTTTATATTTTCGCGCAAAGCATGTCCTGTGTTAGTGCTGTACCCCTCCATCCTTTGAATTTTAGATGTCATACCTTAAAAATGCTTTTAAAAGGGTTAGATATATTTTTCCGTACATAAATGCAAATGGGTTATCATTTACGCATCCTCTACCTAACCTTTTGGTGGCTTTCCAAAGTATGTAGTAAAGCAAATTGTACCTCACTGCATGTACATCATTTACGCATTCTCTACCTAACATTTCTTATTTTTAAAATTCTTGAAGTAACAACCCAAACAGGTCCATAATTTCTACCAAGAATAAAGTTACTAAAATGAAAGGTGTTTGCATGTGATTTACATATTCTAAAAATAAAATAAAAATTAATCAATTATTATTTCTAGGACACAATCTTTTTGTATTATTATTTTTTCAATCAAGGTGTTAATGCAACCTCTAACAATTTTTTAGGTAGGGAATGCTTAAACTACTTGGAAAAAGAAAGAAAAAAAATGCTTAAACTACTTGGAAAAAGAAAGAAAAAAAATGCTTAAACTATATAGCCACTCATTTATTTATGGAAAAATATATCTATCTATTTGGTTTGACAGGGCATCTAAAATTTAAAGATGGGGTTGGTGGTTGCATTAACACCTGTTATTGATTTATATATATATATACAAAAATAGTTTATTCTAGTGAGCATTTTAAAAAATGTACTAAATTTTTAATAATTCACTATTTTTTATTTTGTTTTATTTTATTATATTTTTAGAATATGTAAATCACATGCAAGTACCTTTTATTTGAGTCACTAATTTATTCTTTACAAAAACTATGGACTCGCTTGGTTTGTCAATCAGAAAATAATTCTTAATAAATTCATAAAACAAAAAATTATTTTTAAGAAAACTATAAAAGATAGTTGTTTAAAATCATACCCTTTTTATCTAAATTTTCAAAAAATTATTCTCAAACTGTGAATTAAGTAGATTTTTATATAATTTTATGATTTTAAGTTATCATAAAATAAAAAATTGTAATAAAAAATAAAACGAGACCGCCCCTATAATTTTGTTTCAGGTACTCCCACTTTAATTTTGACATTATGTGATTATGATGAACATGCAGTTCGGTACAACTAGCATTACATACCATGGAAAGCCGACCACCAAAATGTTAGTTGGGGAATGGTTAAACTATTTATTTATGCTTAAAAATTTGAGACAATTCAATGATAGAAATGAGTTATATTAATTATTCAATTGAAAATTTTATTCTTAGATGTTGTTTGATAAAACTAAAAATTATGCACTGAAAATTTTAAATACTGAATTTTAAGCGCTGAAATTTTAAGTGCTGAATGTATTAGTTTAAAAACCTGTTTGACAATGTTTTAATTTTAAGTACTGAATTCATTAAGATTGTTTGTTATATACAAAAGTTGAATTCTGAAAGTTGTACAGATTACATTTTTACCCTCAATATATAGTACTCATAACAATTTTATATTTATAATATAAAAATATTAATAAGATAACCACATTAATTCATTGAAATTGTAACGACCCTCACCCTGGCCAGACACAATATTGTTCGCTTTTGGCTCACCCAGACCAGAGACTTCCCAGGGGGTCACTCATCCACACCCAAACGATGTGGGATTGGGGGGTCACCAATCCTGGTACTACTCCAAGTTAAGCATGCTTAACTACAGAGTTTTGATGGGTTCACGGGCATCACGGCTTTAAAACGCGTTGTGTCATAGAAGGGTCTTGAATCTACATATAGCACTTGCCCCATCCACACCTAGACGATGTGGGATTGTGCACCTGTAGCTCGCCCAGTGTGGTAGCCTACTGGTGCCCCCTGCACACGCTCACACACACCCGCCCACAAGGTCGCCACAGAAATATATATCAATTTAACAATGAATAATAATGTCAAATAATCATAAAAATAATTGATGAAAATTTAAAATATATAGATTTTGGATTAAATAACATTTATGTATGATATTGAAAAGGGTGCTACAAAGATTAAAGAAAGTAAAATTTAAAACATATGAATTTTGGATTACATAATATTTGTTCTGTAGGATATCGAAAAAGGTGTTACAAAGATTAAAGAAAGTAAAATTTAAAATATATTGATTTTGGATTACATAAAATTTATGTATGGTATTGAAAATGGTGTTACGAAGAAAGTACATGAAAACAAATTCTTATCCAGGAATAGAATTCTATTATATAAATAAGTGATATAAAATTTAAAATATATGGGCTTTGGATTATATAATATTTATGTATAAGATAAAAAAAGGATGTTAAAAATATTAAAGAAAGTAGGTGAAAAAGAATTCTTATCTAGAAATAGAATTCTATTATATAAATATTTATGTTAAATCAATTTAAATAGGTAATCAAATGAGACGTGTTTATAAGAAACTATGTAGAATTATTATTATTATTATTTTGGGAATTTGGTAAAATTATATATTTTTTAAATAATTTGTTCTATAATGTAAAAGTAAAAAAAAAAATGTAACAACCAATCAAATTTATATAGAAAAGTTTTTCAATTTTAAAGAAACAGCAGAGAGAAGCCCTGTAGAAATCGCAGAGAGATGCCCAGAAGAGAGAGCGTGATTATTGGAGAGTAGAGTAGTCATTAAAAAAATAATTTGAAAACCTAATCACTTACGGTTTTCTGCGATAAGCGATAAGCAACCCACTCCACGCTTAACATTTTGACCTCTTTTAAGCTGTACTTACCATGTTAAGCGGTATCCTAAAATTTCTGCATTCAGCGCTTAAATAGGAAATCGAATAGGCCCTTACACTCCATTTTTTATATCATCACATATTCACAACCCTAGCAATATTAACTACTCACTCAATGAGGAATATTAGGAGAGTGTAACTTTTGAAAAAAGTTGACTTAACAAGACCATGGAATATAAAGAAATTTACTATCATTGATAGGTAAGATTTAGGCAAATTGAGCTTAAAACGACTTTTCCAAAAAGAAAAGTAAGTTGAAACAAAAAATAAAAATAAAAAATAAAAATAAAAACAAAAATTGAAACCACCACCATTCAAATAGCAATTGTAGAGCAGAAACTAGTTTGACATGCTGAATTGCTTGATCATGTTTCCATTTTATGTCTTGGATCTCTCCCAAGCTTTTTTGAAATATTCTTTAATTTTGCAACTTCTACACATAACTTGTTTTGGCAAATTGAATTGCTTAATCATGTTCCATTTTATGTCCCGGGTGTGGTTGATATACGGTATTGCTTGAATTCAAATCAACTTATAATTTATAAGGATTCAATGAGTACTCTAAACAAAGATTAAGCTAAGTCTCATCATTTTTTTTTTCTTTTTTTAAGATAAGTGAATGGAAAGAATACGTCATATTGCATGTGAGTTCAACAAGGTGTGGACATGATCACTCTTTAATTTTACATTCGATCTTAATTTTGAAAATTAAACTAAAAGTTTTCAAGTCAATCGGACTTGTTTTGATACAAAAATTTACCAATTTACAATTTTACATTTCACACATGTACACAGTAGGGCCCTATAAGTTCAATTTGATTTTGATGAAGTGGAGTCCTTTTTATCATTGAAACTAACTTGATCCCCATGGCCATGACTGCTTGCTTATTTATGCAAAAGTCAAATTAATCGGTAACTATGTGCTTTTGGCAGCTAACTTATCTTCAATGGAGGTGGGTATTTCCAGAACCTTCAGGAATTGAAATTTGCATGTCTACAAGACTAGTTGATGGGTCATCCCGGGAAGTGACATCCGAATTCTGCATCTCAAACAAGGTCTCGCGCGTTTTTTGTTGCTGGTTGAACATCATCTGCAGCTGCCTCCCCTGTTCTTCAATCCTCAATTGCAAGTCTTGCTGATTCTAACCCCCAAAAAACAAGAGAACATTTACGTTGTGGGAATAAATTTAAGTACATGACTGGAAAACCATTACTTAAAACCTCTGCATTTCTAATTCTAAGCGATTAGTCATTTTATCATTTTTATGGAAGAGAAAATGTGGATAGTTTGACCATTTGCACTAGTAGAAAAGAAAACATTGGTGAAATAGAATTATTTAGTAGTGGTATTGTCATTGTGTATCTTAGGAGAAGATGGTGATGTAGGATTTTTGGCCGTTTTCATGAAGAAAAATCAAATGACAGATTTTGATCTTTTATCTAGTTTTATTGTCTAAAAATTGTAATGAGACTAACAATTAACTAAATATATCCCACAGAAAAGTAAACGACATACCTCTAACTGCTGGTGAAGACGCCTCTGCACATCCAGTTGCAATTGCAGTGCCTCGTTGATTTGCAAGCCACTGCTGAAATTTATGAGAAGTCAGTGTCAGATCGAATTCTGCCTGCCTTATTTTCCTGAATCGTTTTGTTATTGAGGTGGGTGGGTTGTTCACTAGTGTTGCTCTAATCGTTATCTTCTTGAAACAATTAATCTCCAATCAACAATATGATGCATAAAATTAATGTGTACATGTTAGTCGTTAGCTAAAAATCTTGAATATATTATGTTGCGTTCATCTCAACATTGGATTCTTGTTTTAATGGTGGCTAAAGTATGAAGCCTTCTGATAGCTCTAACTTCTCAATGCTGCTTTGTTTGCAGGGGGTTTATGCAATAATGCTATCCTCAATTTTGGGCTTCGGAATAGCAATGAGCCTCAACTCCTTCTATATTCAATATTTTGCTTGGCGAGTTCGGGTTTCCCAAAGCTCTCCCCCAGTATGACCAGAATCTGGAGAGCAACAAGGTCTGCTGCATTCGTGCAGGTTATATATATATATATATATATATATAGATTACATTGGTGTAATGTTAGTTCCTAGAAACAGTGATTTCCAAAAACAAAAATGAAAGCTAGCTATGCTAGAGTGTATGTCACAAGGAGCTTTGAGTTATTCATTCTCTCTTTGACGGGCACTGTTGTAATTTCTGTAACAGGGTTTTCTCCTAGTGCCATGATCCAAAACCGATGTAATTAGTTCTTCTTAATGGCATGTGACATGAGCTATTTGGTAGTTATCATGCGTGTTTGTTTAAGAGGACAAGAAAGAATCAAACTTTCACTGTGGCTCATATATTCCGTTGTACGCGTATAAATGGAAAAAGATTTTGTTTTGCATATAAAATTGAAACTTAACCAATAGTAAATAAATAGTTGAACCGCATGGTACAATGCAAAATTTTAAAATTCATTTTATATTATCACAGCTAACAACCTTGAGGTAGCCAAGTTGTTAGTGGCCAAGGACCAACATCTGCCCAATATTGCAGATATTGAAGATGAATTTCTACCTCTCCACGTAGCTGCTGTACTTGGCCACAAGAATATGGTTCATTACTTAATGGGCGTCACCAGTTCTCAAGAAGACAACATTGAAGACCATGGGCCTGCTTTTGTTGCTTTTTTGATAAATAGTGGTCTATACGGTGAGTAGTATTTTTATTTCAATAGTAAATAGAAATAGAAATCCACATTTGTAGTTAACCTTTTCTTTCCTACCTCTTTAACAGACATTGCTCTGCTATTCCTTCAGCGCTATGGTGCATTAATTGCAAGGGAAACAAAAATGCATGTCTCTCTGTTGCAACTAATTGCTATGCAAAATTCAGCATTCAAGAGTGGAACAAAATTCAACTTTTGGCAAACATTAATCTACTTTTGTTAGTCTATTCTATCCTTTCTCTCTCTTCTTCAGCAAAGATCAATCTTTTTTAGGAATGTAAATCAGCATATATATTCCTTAAAATCTAGGAATATATATATATATATATATATATATATATATATATATATATATATATATTTAAGAAATTTCTTTTGGGTGGATGACTCTATGTAAAGTATATAAGTTGTGTACAAGCATATTTAACTGCTTATTGCTTTCTTTCTTTTTTCAATATTCTTGTGAAGTTGAAAGAGTCTATATACCATTGTAGTAGAGACATTAACTGCTTACTGTTTTTTAATCTAGGTGTTCCTACGAAGTTGGAAGAGTCTACATACCATTGTAGTTGTGGAGACGTTGAGAATCCTACCCATTGCTGCATTTCTGGTCTGTTTAAATCCAATAATTCTATCTCTATTTGATATATTGTTTTTTTTTCTTTATTTTTTATTTTTTATGGGGATATTGGTAAGACTTGAAATGTTAATTCCACCTTTGCATGTTAGCTTCTTCTACAATTCTACCGCGCTTTTAGCCCCTCTAGTCCAGAATAAAATGTCTATCTTTACTATGTTATCTAACAATTCAAAAAAAATTTCAGATTTACAATATAAAATATTAAATTAGGGACTTATGTGTAATTTTTAAAGAATCCATGTGCCCTTAAAAACTTTAAAATAAAATTTACTTTATTTTAGAATCCCCAGTAGGGGAGTATGAGTTTTTAAAAGACAATAACCAATTATACGTAATGCCGTAGAAGTGGGCCAGACAGTGAAGCTTCTGGCTTGTTTTACAGCCTGCATTGGCTGGGCTTGATCTAAAATAATACGCCCACAGTGAGGTTGGGCCAAGAAATTTAGGACTAATCATTTTTAACTCAGGTTGGACAACGGTTGTTTGTATGATATTTTATTTGATATAAAAAATAATAACATAAATAATATTTTTATTCATGGCATGTGACATCTAAATATTAATGGATGGTGCTTTTAGTGGTTGCATTGATATTATCAAGTAAAAAAAATATTAAATTTGAAGAATAAAATCAAGGATTATTTAATTTCTATTCTTATTAAACTTCTCTTTGATTTCGACTTGTTTAGTTTTGTTGTAAAAGTGTGATGAAGTATTTTTATTATATATATATATATATATATATTGGCAGGTACAATGAAGCAAAAGTTGTTGGGTGTATTTTGGAAAGTTGCTGAAATGCTAGGTAAGGAACATATATATGATCGAACGAAAAAAGTTTTTATGTTGAAAGATATTTACTAGAAATTATTTGCAACACATCCTGCATCCTGCTAAATTATTCGCCTTAAAGCAGTGCCACGGATCAAGCATGTCCGAGGGATAAAATGGAAGCATGATCACGCAATTCAACTTGTCAGACATCTTTGCATGGAATATGAAAAATTAGATTTTTCAGAAGCTAGACAAAGAGTTGGAAGATCAGTAATTGCCGCAACAACTTCTGGGATTCCTGAAGTTATTGAAGAGATCGTTTCAACATTTCCTGAAGCAATATATAGTAAAAACGAAGAGGGACAAAATTTATTTCATATTGCAATTCTGAACCGTCAAAGAAAAGCATTCAAACGTATTTATCAACTTTCTGACAAGCCTGTTATCAATAATCTTTTAACATTGCCAGATTCATTGGGTAACACTAATCTGGATCTAGTTGCATATTTAAAGGAAGAGCAAAGTAGCAAACTCAAAGCTGATGCAACTGGTGCAGCTCTACAAATGCAACTTGAATTGCAATGGTTTAAGGTAATGTTTTATATATATTCATTTTAATAATATGCCTTGTATAGTAATTTTCTTTATTTTCTCATTTACAATACATGTCTGTCTTACTAAATTTGATTTGATTTATTTATATTTTAGGGATAATTACGTATAAATGGGGTTAGGGTTCCGTATTTACTTAGAGGCGGAGTCAAAGTTCCATATTTCCCTAAAATGGATTGCTGACGTGGCACATGGATTATTACTGTTCAAGAAATGTTTTGCCAAAAATGCCCTTATCACTATTTCAGCCCATTTACCTTATTGCCCCCATTTAATTTTGTCACCCAAATTGTTGCCCTAAAATACATACACAGTCGTGCATCACATATCCATCTCACATCAGCGCCCCCTCTCTCTCTAACCAACGAAGCAAGACCAGGCAACCCATCTCGGCACACACCATCACCGAACATGGAGCCCTAACCCTCCGTCATCTCATTCGTGAAGAGCCCTCAAGAGCCCCCTCTCTTTCTTTCTCCCCCCCCCCCCCCCCCTCCTCTGTGTAACAGGATTAAAGCATCCTTGGTTGAGCCCTAACCCTCATTCAAGCCCTCTCTCTTTCCCCCTCTGTAACAGCGAAGCACTTCTCCACGTCTAACCGTCATTGGTGCGCCCTCTGTCTCTGCCCCTCTCTATAACCCAGCGAAGCATTTCTCCACTTCTGCCATTCATTTATTGTTGTTCTTGAACTGAAGTAAGTACTCTCTCTCTGTCTCATACACATACACGTTTATTTTTTAGATGATTATGGCCCTGATTTAGTGGTATAATTTTTTTTTTTTTTTTTTCCAATTGGATGTCTGATTTTCATCTAGGTTATGTTTATATGTATTCTCCTCTTATAATTTCTATTATGCAATCATATATATATATAATTTCTATTCTGCAATCAAGATTGTTGTTGCTCTGTTTGTTGTATATGTTTGAAATGTGCGTAACAAAATGTTGCACAAATATGGGCTAATTATAAGGGCTCATTTAAAAAATTATAAGGTAGTTCCTCCCCTGCACATGAATTATAATTTTTACATCTAACATTTTAAAATCCATTCTAATTACGTTGGTTTTAGCCTGCCTCTTTGTCTACTACCAAAAGGACATGAAAAAACAGTATATAATTGGAGAAGAAGAATTCAATAATCTCAAATTTTCAATCAGTTTTTTAGTCAACTAATATAAATGAACACCAAAATCTATGTCACAGGTATATATTGACGGGTATAACAGACAATACAGTTTAGGTATAACAAGAAAGATGTCTGTAACAAGAAGACATGGAGAAGAAAATAATGAGAGAAAAGACAATGAAGAAGATAACAAGAGGAAAAAAACCTGGTAGATTAAGAAATAATCTCCTATTGTGTACAGAATCACAACACTTACTCCAAAAACAAATATATATATATATATATATATATATATATATATAATATTGTGAGTTGAGTTGAGAATTTCACTTGACAGAGCTTTGATGTCAAATAAATAAAGAAAGACAGGTTTCATAAATGAGGAGTGAAGAGGTTAAGGGAACACTGACAATATTTCTTTGTATTTTGCTCTGTTTTGAAAAGGCCACATGAGAGAGCCCTCTCTCTCTCTCTCTTTGAGGTGGATCTGTTTTTTTTGGTCCAAAACTCTGGCACTACAATCAAACCAAAGACACCACCTTTATGTGAAGGTGAATACGGATACTACTTCTCTTTGCACGAGGGAAGGAATCAGAATCAAAATCAAAATAAAATTAAAAACAGCTAATGGGTGATATAAAGTTTTCAATTCCTAGCAGATAAGTGCAGTACTACTAAAGTCTCTTTTAAGAGATAAGCATTAAAACATGGTAGAGTTTATAGATTTTTGTAGGGATTGCTTTATTAAATCTGCCTATGCTCTTTTAGCTGCATTATATATTTTGATGAATATCGAGATATACATGGTTTTACCCCACTAATTCTCGAAGCTCCCAAAGAATTATTTGTACTCATGAAAGCGTAGTCTCAAAGAATTATTTGTACTTATGAGGAATCTAATTTTAAATCTGGTGCTTCATGTACTTTTATTATTTGTCCCTCAATTGTATCCAAACATCTTATTTTTTTATGTTTCCATTAAAATGGTATCTCTCTTTGATTTTGGATCAGGTGTGTGATTATGAAATTATGTGTTGATTTGTAAGGTTGCTTTCAGCTTTGGACAAAAATAAAATGAAATGCTCTTTGAATTATCGACTCTCAATTAACTATGTTGGCAGCCTATTGCAATCGAATAAATTCTTAAAATTTTGTTTCTTGTGAGGGAGGGTCTAATTTTGTAATTTTGCTTTAATGGTATTTGATAGTAACAGAAAAATTCAGTAAGTTAATATTTATATTTGGTTTTATACTAAGTCGCATAAAGTGGTAGATAGAGCGCAAAAGCAACAAAATTAAATTACAAACAAATCGTGAGAATGGGAGCTAGATTTACACCTGCTAAAAAGAATTGTATGACCTAGATTTTAACACAAACACACTTGTCATAGGCTAGCTACACCTATTGTAACTTCTGCGGCTAGCTATTAGTCACTGTTGGTGTTTGTTTGAGTATGTTTGGATCATAAAAAAACAAACATATTTCAGCCACTACATGAATAGCTTCCCAATGAGATTGAGGAAAAACTTCAAGACAAAATGGCTGAGCTAAATCTAGTTTATGATTATGTTAAGTGCTGTTAGGAGGAGATTGAAACAGCACTGGACCGTCAATAAGCACATCAATCTTAAGAATCATAGTGTGAACTATACTCTAATACAGGTCCATAGAACACGTGTGCCATTAGGGGAGAGAAAACCCTAACGTACCTCGATTTGGAACGAGAAAGAGAAGGAATGAGAGAAATGGTATAATAATACTTGTTTAACCTTCCAAAAAAAAAACCTTTAGGAGTTATCCAAACCAACATGAATTTGTTCTAATTTTTACAAGAGTTAGGCTGAAATATTTAAACATAACACGACTTTGTCATATATATGTATGTTTATACATGATTTTAACACACACACACTGGCCATAAGCCTAAATACCACACATTAACTAGTACATAATGGAACACATACACAAAACTAGTAGTAATCATGATGCAACTAATAAGCTCCATATGATCAAAGTAGTTTTACGGCTTATTTATCATTAAGCAGTAGTTGCCATGGACTGATATAGATATATATTCAAAGCATATAATTTTAAATTTTTAAGCTCATTACATCAACAAACTATCAAGACTTTCATTTTATTTTTGTCCAAATCTGAAAGCAACCTTACAAATCAACACATAATTTAATAACCACACACATGATCCAAAATCAAAGAGAGATACCATTTTAATGGAAATATCAAAATTTAGTTAAAACCATTAATACTGACCATGGTTATATCCATTTGAAATTTTAAATTCACATTGTCAGTTACAACCAATACACACCACAATATTGCTCGATAGCTATGAGTAGTATCAATTCATTCCGTTAGAAAATAATATCTATGTAAAATCAGCTATATCTGTATCCTCCTACAAAAAGAGTCAGAATTTATCAATTTTTTACTATTATTTTTTACATGGAAATTGAATCCTTATTTGGAAGCGACATGAGATACCACTCAAGCTGAGTCTCTTGGATGGGGAAGGGTGGTAATAGAAGTGGAAAAAGTAAGTAATACAAAAAATAAAAAATGGTTCCTATTAGAAAGAATTCTGAAACTTAACAATTTGTTCAATTTTAAGATAACCAGACTATTTACGGGAATCTTCCATGCCCACATAGTCAGAGGGCCAAAGAAGAATGATTTTATTTGTTTTGGTAGCTTTTTTCATTCAAGCTATATATTCAAGGCTCTTTGATGACTGCAGACTAAATCCTCAACAGAACCTAGGAATTTAGGAGTTAAAATTCAAAGCCACCAACACATAGGTAGTCCAATTAGTTTTTATGTATAATTAATTATTATAAGTCAATTTAGATCAAGAATTATTCAAGATTGTTGCCTCTTTCTCAAATGGCATGTAGAGTATACCTCTGTGTAATATGTCTTTAGGCATCTACGCACATGATAGAATTGATGCAAAAGCTAGCAAACTCTATAAATGAGGCTTTTTTAATATATGTATTTAGCATTAATTTATCAAAAAAATGTATTTAGTATTAATTTATTATTCCAACATTCCCTTGTACTTGTCTCCCCCATTTTCAAGACTTACACATATAAATTATGTGTGTGAAAAATATTCAACACTCTGCTCTCTCTCTATTTAACTCTCAATTTTTTATTTTCAATCTATATTATCCCATTTAACTCTCTATTCATCTCATAATCTCCCTCATCTTGTATATATGTTTGTTGTACACATAGTGATACAATTATCTAGTAATCAATGGCATTGATTTTGTGGTTGTATTTTGATTTGAAAAAGGTCTGTAGTGTGTGTTTAGGAAAAGTTTAATCTTGACACCGCCTATCCCTATTGAGGGAATTAGTAGCGTTTCGCTGTAAATAGATCTCTAAATTACATTATATAATTATGATATTTAATTGTTTTATATTTCATTATTTTTTGAACTTCATATTTAGTTTTTTTTTTTTTTTTTAAACTAATGAGTCAATTTTCGAAGCAGTTGGACAAATGGATGAGAGACAAATTATATGCTATTGTCGATTTGATGGGAAAATTGACAAAAATGAGAATGGGGAAATTATATACATCGGCGGTGTCACAGACCCTTTTATGATAACAACAACAACAACATACGAATCATTTATAAATGAGTTACAACAACGTTCATCTTCAAACATGAGTGGTAAAGTCATATATTATACCACCGAATCTAACAAGAATGAACTTTTGAGGATGACGGGAGAATCTGGATTTAGAGTGATGCTTGTAGTGAGTGGGCCCATGCTAAATGTGTATATGGAAGATGCAGAGCCTGTAATTGCATCATGCACAATTCCTACTGATCATAGTGAGAGGTAAGACACATATATTTAAAGTAATACATTGATGTATGCGCTGCATAGGTTATGTGATTTTTAATATACCTTTTTATCCACTTGTAGACAATTTGTTGAAGCCACATCGCCAATTGGTCTTCTACAAAGTGTTGCGTCAACGTCTTCATTTCCTCCGATAAATGCGCATCGGGATTCTTTCCGACACATTGATGACATTCTTTGCGTGGATCAGCTTTTTGACAGCCCAAATGATTTCAAAGATGCACTCGTTTTGTTTGGTCTTCGTAATCATTTTCGGTTCAAGTACTTGGACAATAGCAGAAAATATTATAGAGTTGTGTGCGAGGTTAATAATTGTCCATGGAAATTATCAGCTGGTTGTGAAGGAAGTGGTGATATAGTGAGAATCAAGCGGTTTAATAATGTTCACACTCACACTGCTCAAGACATTTCAGATTATAAAGCCATTTTTTGGTCGAAGGAAATGGGTCGAGCTATTGTGAACAAGGTTAGGGACAATCCTAAATGCACCCCCAAGACTATTTCCACAGACATAAACGGTGAATTTTCTGCTAAAATGACTTACATGCAATCGTGGAGAGCTAAGGAGTGTGCACGTCATATCATTGAGGGAAATCCCAAGGATAGCTATATTTTAGTCCCGTGGTTGTGTGAACGAATAGCAGAATATATTCCTGGGACAATTACATCGTGGGAGTGCACGGATGATAGGAGATTTAAGCGAGTGTTTGTAGCTTATGGGTGCTCCATACGAGGTTTCATCAACTATTGCAGGCCCATGTTAGCAATCGATGCTTGCCACTTGAGTGGCAATTATAAAGGAACAATGCTTGGTGCAACGGGGTTCGATGCGAATGATGGCTTGTGGCCTTTGGCGTATGCTGTTGTTTCTTCTGAGAATGATGATGATTGGCATTGGTTCTTGAGCAAGGTGAAAGAGATTCTAGATGGTCGCATTGTGACAATCTTAACCGACAGGCATCCGAGCCTAATAAGTTGTATTAGAGATATTTTTGGCTCCCAGTACCACTCATAGTGTCTTCGTCACCTAACGGCGAATTTTTCTACATCTATTCTTGGGAGACAAAGTTTAGGATTGAGGGCTTCGGATAAAGAGCATGCGAAAAAATTACTCGATAAAATTGCATATGCTCGAACTGTAGATGAGTATAAGAATGCATTGGCTGCCATGCGGGTATTTCGAGGGGAGTTATGTGATTGGGTTTTGGCGAATTCACCTGAACATTGGTCAAATGCTATGTTTACTTCCAAGCGTTGGGATAAATTATACACCAATCAAGCAGAGTCCTTCAATGCATAGGTGAAAGAAGAGAGGGTTTTTTCAATCACAAGGTTGATGGATACACACATGCAAAGACTCAGCAAATTTTTATACCAAAAGAGTTTGGACGTTCAGAAGTGGACTATCCCGGTTGGGGATCGTATTGAGGAGAAAATAAAAAAAGAGCAAGAGTTAGCTCTTGGTTTTCAGTCGATGCGTGTTTTGCCTACTGAGTGTACAATATATGATCGAGACAGAAAACCATTCAGGGTGGTATTTGGCAGTGAAAATTCTTGTAGTTGTTTGAAGTGGACCATGAGTGGGATTCCTTGTTCGCATGCATGCTATGCCATCCATGAATTATCTTTAAATATTTATGAGATGGTTGATCCATGGTTTAAGGTTGAAACACAACAAAAACTATGTGAACATCTCATGTCTTCTGTCCCCATGCATGATATGCCGAATGCAGCTGCTGTTGCTGTTGCTGACGGTGAAGGTACTTCCCATCTTAGGCCTCCTGCGGTAACACGTCCCCCTGGATGACCTCGTATTAAACGAATCGAATCACAATTTCAAAATGTAAGGTCGTTACACTGTTCGCGATGCGGCGAGAATGGTCATAATCGTCGAAAGTGCAAGGCTCCTATACCTGGATAGAATAGTTATATAATTGTTAATTCTAGTGGAGTTATTTTGTAAGGTGTTAAGGCCTTAAATATGAAATTATTTTGTAATTACTATTAATTCCTTGGAGCTCCCCTACTGCATTAGTATAACTATGTTGTGATAGTATTTCTAACTTATTTAGAAAACATTTCTAAGTATGATGTAACTTATTCTAAGTTGAATCTGTATTATTCGTCTGGTGGTTTATTTTGGTATTGAAATTATTTTCCTGGGTCCTCGTATGAGTCTCATGTGGAGTGTTATTTAAAAATCATAGGTGTGTGAGTTTTCTGGCAGCTGGAGGGTCGTGAAAGCAAGGAGGTTATGGGATTATGTGACAATGGACGGGCTTACATGTTACATGCTTACGGAAGGCTAGGAAAATAACATCATATTAAAGTCATTATGACTTGTTTCCTCACTATTAATTCCTTGGAGCTCCCCTACTGCATTATGACTGTTATTTTAACCACAATTTACCTCGTGAGTCTCTCTCTTCCTCACTTTCTTTGTGTCTCAAAAATTATATGAACATTGTGTTTACATTATCAACATTGTTTGACAGATGAGGCTGAATGGATAAATCAGTACAAAGGAAGAGTGTTCAGTTTAAACGACAAGCCTGTGGTGCATAAAATTTGGCTGCCGAATGAGGAATGCCCCAGATTGGCAATGTCTAGAGCCTTTGGGGACTACTTTATTAAGGATTTTGGACTTATATCCGTCCCTGAAGTGAGGTGTTGTCACATATAACCAGCAGAGACCAATTTGTTGTGTTGCGAACCGATGAGGTATGTATGGCACTTTTTGGTATTTATCACTTGTTCTTTTTTATACAATGACAAAGAAAAAGACTTGTTTGTTTCTCTATTAAATGTCCAAAAGATCACGTGAACGAATACGTTTCAAACTCACGAGCATAATTGATAATAATCACTTCAAATTATGTGATATCAGTTATTATTAATGAGTTTACAGGTTTTTGTTTTGGCTCAAATTGATTGGATTTTGAAATTAGTATGGATTTTTGAAGTTAATCTTAACATGATGTGATCCTTGTTTTGTAAGCAGAATTTTTCCTATCTTTTCCTTCAAACCTTATTTAATCGGTAAGAAAATTTATTGATTTAAATTGATAGAAGAAAAATTGTGTGTTTAAGCTTCCAATGGACTTGGTTTCATGCAAATTGTTTGAGAATTTCTTTTTTATTGATTTTTCAAAGGGAAGTATGTATTTCTGAGAAAAATTGTTTCAAATAGATTTTTGGGCTTCCTTCTGATTTTTTGTGATCCAAATAGTCCAATCATGTTTGATAGAATAAAAAAATAAAGAAACAATAATAAAAAGGATTTTGCTATAATCTTAGTTGACTACTGTTACCCCATTTATTTATTTATTTTGTTTAGAGTCTTGCTTTTGGTTACTAGCGCCTAATAAAAAAGTTGTCTGCTCATATGTCCCTTATTTTTTAGTTTTTTCATTTAACCATCTCCACTTGTACAATATTTTGGTGTTATATTTTGTTTAATTGATTTGCATGTACTTCAAATGTAGTCTTCCCGCTAGGGGCTGGGAAGAGATAACAACGGGAGCGTCGATTGCATGGCTATCAAGTACATCAAATTTGTAAGTTATATGGTCTTTATGTTCGATAAAAATCTTTTATGATTGCACATTTATAATGCTTTTTATACTCATACTCGGGGGGGGTCACATGCCTTTAAGTGACCAATTTTATGGTGTATCTTGAACTTTATTACCTTATTGCTACATCGGCCCATGTGGAGGCCATTTTTTTTTTTCTTGTTTTAAAATGTTGAAAGCATGGGAGTATGGGATCATCGTATGTGGAGGTTTTGATTGATTGTTGTGGAGGAGAAGTTGTTGATATGTTGTTTAATGAGTTAATGCAAGTTCTCACGTTCTTCGTACATGTTGATATGTGGAGGTTTTGCTAACTTTCTCTTAAACCCAACTCATTCATCAACGCTCTCTTGCTCTCTCTAGTCTTGTTCATCGTTTTGCTAGGATTTCTACTCTGTTTTTATACAATTTTGATCCCTATATATATATATATATATATATATATGCTGTTCCTAAAACATCAATTTTGGATTCAGGAATTGGACACAAAAATGTCGCGATTCCCTCTCTCCGATCAGAAACTTCGAAGGCAAAATTTGTGCGAAAAAGTATGTGTTTCCATCTGCTTGTGTGTGTTTATGTATGTTCGCCAACCAATTGATATTTTCGGCTTTCTGTTTCGTTGCAATGAATTCAAGAAAACGAGAAAAGTTTAAATTCTTTTAGCTTTTGTATCGAATTCCTTTTGATTTTCTTTCTTTTGTTTGTCTTCGTGAATTTGTTGGACTTTTGGATTTACTGTGAACTACAGTTTCTTCGTCTACTATTTGAATGTTTCTTTTTTTTAGACGATATCTAGTGTTGTTTGCAATATCTTTAGATTTTTGTGGTTGATGTTCCCATTAATTTCTTGGATTTTGATTTTTTTTCACGTAAGGGTTTCTTTAGCATATTTGGATGGTTTATTGTCTACGAATATGAGTTTTCAGGAATTTAGGGTTTATTTGTTCAACTTGTATAGATTCTGCACGACTAGAATTTTTGACATCATTAGATAATTTTTTAAGTCATAGTCCTGTAGGTTTCTTGGTTTGGATTTCCATGGGATTCAACATGAAGATTCAGGGAAAACACACTCAATATGTTTTTGTTTCTATTTGTATAAATTTGGATTTACGTAGTTCTTTCTTTATTCAGAGAAATAGACCCAATAAAGTTTAAATAATCAATAGGTCCCATAATCTCTTGAGAGAGGTGCAATGAGATTGTGATCAAAGACACATCAAAAGAAGAAGTGAATTCAAATATATTTGATAATGAAGCAATAGGTATAGCCATTTTAGGGCTTTCCTTTCACAATTCCTCATTAGGGGGATCCAAAACACTTCTCCCTTTTCCCCTTATAACTTCCTCCCACTAATTCGAATTAGGTCTAGCCGTCCTCCTTCATTCTCCATTTTTGTGTATGCTTAGTAGTGGGCTTAGAAGAGCAAGATTGGGTTGAATGACCAAAAGATTCACAATCTAACATCTGTGACTTCTCATATAGCTTCCTCTCTATATATACCAGTCTCGAACCTTGACCAGTGGGTTTATAATTCAAACCATAAGCCAACAGGCTATAAGGTGAACCGGTAAGCATTTTCATTTCTCCAGTTGTTAGGTTTCTAAGTGAGGAAAAGAGATAATAATGTAATATTATCATATGTCCTATTGTCTTGGATTACAAAGAATTTTTACTCGAAAGGAACCAAAATAGTTGTAGAAGACAGTAACGATAGTTTCAGGTTTTGTTTTTGTGTTCCATATAAAGAAAATATTACATTTCAAAATATACTCTCTTTATTTATTTAATTTTTTTTTAATATCTTTGCCTGCCTTCTTTTGTCATCGCAATAGGCTTCACACTAATCTTGCTCCTCGGTTTTAAACTCTATGGCTGATTTTTTCCTGTCATTTTGCCTTTATATATATATATATATATAGGTTTTATTGGAAATTCACACTAATCTTGTTCTTTTGGGATGGCAGCTGGATAGGTTTATTCCCAACCGATCTGCAATGGATTTTGATTTTGCACATTACATGCTCAACGGTGGGATGGTAAGAAAGGAAAGCCCAACACCATGCTCTCCAGCCAAAGAAGCTTACAGGAAGAGGATCCTTGCTTTTAAGAACAAGTCTAGGAGATAGATTCCCCAAGTGGGTTTTCTTTCTTTCCTTTTTCTTCTTCTTGTTGCTAAGCTCTCATTCTGATTTGTGTTTTGGATTGATTGCTTTCTTGTTGACATGTGTTTGTTTGGTAATTTAACAGTCTCCAGAAAGGATTCTTGTTGTTTCTGAGCTCCTAGATGAGTTTTATTTGAATTTATTGGATTGGAGTAGCAGTAACATTGTCGCTATCGCTCTTGGGAATTCAGTATATTTGTGGAATGCTGCTAATGGCGCTACTTCTGCACTTGTTGTGATTGATGAGGAAATTGGGCATGTGACAAGTGTCAGATGGGCGCCGGATGGAGTACATCTTGCTGTTGGACCCTTCATCTTGTCGGATGGTAAGAGTTTTCTTTTAATTATGCTTTCATTTTTTCTATTTTATTGATCATTTATGCTTTTGTTTCTTTGAACAGATTATTGTAAGTAATTAGATGAGGCATGGTGAAAAGTTGGCATTCTTTTTTAATGTTGTTCTGTTAAAAAAAGATGACAAGCATTTTTGACTAGTTGTAAGAAACCCTGGTCAATAAAGAAAAATTTTATTACAAAAAATGAGATGATAAACAAT